TGCAATGTGGGAAGAGATTACCGGGGATAATGTCCACACAACAATAGACGACATTCTCCACATGTTGTAAGTAGACACTACAATGTCGGTGAGGAAAATGATACAACTTGCGTTAATTGTTATTGTCGATGGGGTCCTTGTTGCAACGTCCCAGAACCCCAAGCCCACCCCAAAATATGTTTCTATAATGGAAGATATGGAATCATTTCTTAACTTTCCATGAGGCCGAGAGTCATTTCTCCTCACCATCGTTACCATGCCGAGAAAGATTTTTACTTTGTATTTCTAAGGTTATGTGTTTATTTGATTGAAACATATAAGCAGCCTTTAATTTCTTTGGTTCTAGAAAATCCAAATCTGATGACCTTTTCTCTGACTTGAGCACCAAGATGCTCATGCAACATCTGGATGAGCTTGTAGCTGGACTCACACCGAAGCTGTTCCATGTCTACAATGCTTACATCACTTTGGATGCAATGGTATGTTCAAAACTCTTTGGTTTACAAGTATTCAAATTTCTCCAATTGTAGTTCTTTACATTTTCTATAACTATGTTCCATTTTGATGTGTATGTGACAGTTGAGTGAATAAATTAGAGGCGATGTCAATGAGAAACTATTTGTCTATGAGCAAGCAAAAAAGAAGGTAAAATACTGTTTGGGGCTATTTGTTTTTGTGTGCCTACTTGGAATTCATGAATTTACTGTCACATTCGTTCAGATTGCCAAAATCTTTAATCATTAGCCTATTGTCTCAAAACCACATGGTGCACAGATCAAAACTTTGGATGGGAAATTAGATCAACTCAAGGTAGATAAATCTCATATAAGCTTTTAATTTGAAAAGTTATCTGCGTTTCTTCCTGATTTAATTGCCTTGTGTTTGATACTTTAATTACATCTCAGGTCAATTACACTGATCCTAGGATCAGTGTTGTATGGTGCAAATGCCATGGAGTACCAATTGAAAAAAAGCTTATGGAGAAGTATTCCGAACTTGGTGTTATTCCGGGATTAAAAACTCTCCGAATCTGGTGTTATTTCGGAATTCCAAAAGTTATCTGAGTTTTTGGAATCTGATTCCATATTTACTATTTCACTCGATTTTTTGTTACCAACTTCTTTGTCTTTGCTTAGTAACCTAATGTGGAAGCAAGCAAGACCGATAATTTCTCTTCCTTCTCTTCACTAATGTTCTGAATCATCACTACGACTTGTGTCTCACGAAAACACAAGTGAGTAACTATGCTGTCTAAGCAAAGTGTCGCAACAGTTTAAACACACGAAACTGCTTGTACTAGCCACTATCATCACTTCTTCTAGTTAGCAAAATAATAATCACGATCAGGACTTTTACTGAATATACTGATTCTCATTAATTCAATCTGAATGTATAGAAATGATATATATAGTATCTGTAATCTATACTAAACCAAACATTAGCTACACCGGTTTATAGTATACCGGTTTACAAAAACTCTATTTACAATGTTCTCATACCATTTTACTGAATATACTGATTCTCATTAATTCAATCTGAATGTACAGAAATGATATATAGAGTATCTGTAATTTATACTAAACCAAACATCTTCTACTGAGTAGATTTTGCCAATCAACCATCTAACCCATGTCATCTTGTACCTAGGATCAAGTACAGTAGCAACAAAGATAATCATGTTCATGTTATCAAAGTTTCCCCAATACTTGTCATATTTTTCTCTCATTTTGACCGACATATCTCTTATGGATTTAACGTCATCCATACTCATCTTCATTATAAGTAAAGACAAACCAAAAATCTCCTTCATGTACACGTTTGCAGTGATGTAAAGAGATCCTGATATCTTTACTGTTGTCTCATAGAATGCTTGTAAGAATGGAATAAGACCCTCAACATAAGACCAATCGTTCTCATTCGGCAAATTATAAACCATTTCAGCTCTGTAGGCTTTGTCTTTTAATTCCAGCAAATCAAAAGCTTTCTTTACCTGAAGAGCAGAATCCAACATCAAATAAGTTGAGTTCCATCTAGTTTCCACATCCAAACAAATTCCACAGTTTGTAGAAAGCTTCAACTGTTCCAAACATTCCTTGAATTTCAGCAACCTACTTGGAGAAGATCTTACATAACGAACAGCCGAACGAATCCGAGAAACCGCAGATTCCACATCCTTTAAACCATCTTTAACAACCAAACCTAATATATGAGCACCACACCTCATATGAAGAAACTCTCCATCTAACACACAGCCTCCTCTTGATCTAAGACTTTGTCGCATGTAACGCAATCCTAAATCATTTGAACTTGCGTTATCCACAGTGATGGTGAAGACTTTGTCAATTCCCCAAAACAGCAAACACTTCTCAATTGCTCTTCCGATCATTTCACCTGAATGGCTTGTAACTTGACAAAAGTTTAGTATTTTCTTGTGAAGCCTCCAATTAGAATCTATGAAATGAGCAGTCAAGCACATATAAGTCAGATTTTGACAAGAAGACCATGTGTCTGTGGTGAGACTAACACTTCCAGAAAAATTCTTAAACCATTTCCGTAGCTGTTCTCTTTCCTCCTCAAACAAAGCCACGCACTCTCTAGTCACAGTCCTACGTGAAGGAATAATAAAGCGTGGCTGCAGCACTTTGACAAAATCCTGAAAACCTTCTCGCTCCACAAATCTAAACGGAAGCTCATCTTTTATAATCATCTTAACCAAGGCACGACGACAATCATCTTTATTATCCGCTGCGATGAAACAAAGTTGATTGTCTAACACGTCTACCTTGGTTTTCATCAAGATCCTCATCATCAACCCCGATATTTCTATATTTCTTGCACCTTTTCAAATGATTGAGCATAGCACTAGTTGTCGGACCAGCATCCGTCCGACATGAGATTGCCGTAGAACAATAATTACACATAGCTTTGAGTCCTGACTCCATCTTCACAAAATGAGACCACGCTGGTGAAGTTTTCTTTTGTACTTTCGGTTTTGGTTCTTTCATACCACCTGCTTCTGTTCCAGGGGCATCTTTTCCTGGAGCAGATTTTGGATTCTCACCGGCCCTCATAAACTCACTTGATTTTTCTTTATGTGCCATCTATATAGAAACCAAAATATAAGAAGCCAAATGAAAAAAACTCATAAGTTCCAACGAAAATCTGAAATTAATAGTATATCAACACTACATTTGGCATAATTATCTAAGACTTGATAGGTTTCAAATTTGTATGATAGCGAGTGAAAGAAGAGGTAGCAATTTGGTTTCTTATAATGGAAACATAGGTAATGCTTATAACGTTGATGAGTAAAGCAAAGAAACAATGAAAGATCTAAGATTTTCTATTTTCTATACAGAAATAAACTTCTCATTTACACAAAATCACATAAACCCATCGGTTATCTAAAAATCACAGACGCAAGTAGTGAAATTAGGACAAACAATAATACCAAAAATAAAAACAAATCTTTTGAAGTTTACCATGGATGACGAAGAAACAAACTGTAAAACCAGAACTTTTTTGGTGGCTTGTAAATTGTAAAAGCTTGGTATGTTAACTTAACCCCAAGAGAAGATGAGGTTTGGAAAGGGGAATCGACAGGTAATTTTGACCTCTAACACGATTTATTATCTAAACTAAGTAGATAAACGTTTTTAATATATATATTTATTAATGTTATATTTATAATTTTATATATATAAGACATTTATAAAAAACTAAAACCGTGAACTAGAAAAGAATCAAAAGCCCATCAACAATTTAAAAAAGAAAAAAGGAAATAAACTATTATAGGTACATAGACAAAGTATAAAATTATATTATATATACACATAATTATATATATTCATTTATATACGGATCGGAGCGGATATCCGATCTTTTTTAAAATACTATTTGCGATTTGCTCTGTTTTTTTACGGATACTGTATTTTACTATTTGATTTGCTCCGAAACTTAACGGATATCCGGAATTTTCGAATCAAATCGAATCAAATAACGGATAGAATCGAATTTAACGGATATTTTGCCCACCCCTATCATGTATACACCAATAAGGACTCTGTACTTTGAATTGAGAATAAGAGTTTATTGCTGTGTATGGCCAGCTCAGCCTCTACATCAGCTAGAATAGTTGACTCTTATGACTTATTTCTTATTGAGCTGTTTTTTTTTTAATCTTCAAAGTGGGTATTGGGTTTACCATAACTGATGCTGTAATGTTCTTAATCATCACTACGACTTGTAATTTTTCCACCCGAATAGAAATCATCTCCTGAGAATTTATATATCGCATTGAGTCTTTTTCTTTGTATCTTCAACGAGTAATGTCCAATAATTATAAGGGATGAGAAAAATAGAGAATTCTAAAAATTATCATTATATAGAAGAAAATTTTACAATAAATAAAAGGAATTTATTACAATAAATATCATTCAGTAAGATTAAATGCAAGATTTGACTGTAGAAAATTAATGCTGGAAAAAAATGAAAATTATATTCAATATATGTTAATTTTGAGGTCAAAAGTAGCATACGTGTATGTTTGTTTATTTGCATGTATGGTATGATTATATATAATTTAGTACCAAATCATAAAAATATGGTCAAAGATTATTTTTATAACAATTTTAGCAATTCAATATATTGTTAATGTATGTTTCACAGTTATCTAATTTTTCTTTTTCTTCTCTCTCAGAACGTCATATATTTTTAATTGTATATAATTTTTTACTTTTGGAACAATGCATTTGACAATGTGTTTAGACACACATCTATTTTTGTCACGTTATGGATGTAGCCGAGGTTATATTTAAGATTGACCAAGAACTGATGAATTGATCTGCATTTTCTGATAATCAAGGGTAGAAGTTGCAAAACAAAATATTTTGGAGGATTGATTTGCAGAAAAAAATTGTTCGTTTCTTCTCTTTATGATTTTTAATTTAGGTTTATTTTATTTTATCTATAATCTAATTTTTTCACCTTTTATTCATGAATTTTAAATTATTTTTATTATGTATATTTTTGTATATAAATTTCATAATGTAGTATTGATATAAAAGGGATAAGATAAGTTTTATTTCATCAAAAGCAAACAAGATAATATTTAACCGCTAGTTTACTTAAGGGATTATCGATTCTATCATTTTTTGCAACAACATTGTAAATCTTGTATAAAACCTATACAACCCCCATCCGAATAATAATGATCTTTTGTACACATTTTATAGCAAAAGTTACTTTGAAAATATGTTGAACATGGTCTTATGCAATAATCGAATCCAAATTTATTGTTCACTGCATAAAAACAACCAAGTTAAATAAAATGAAGCATGTATGCACATATATATATAAATTGGTTTTACTAAAATGATTAAAAATTGATGAATAACTACATACCAGATGAGGCCAAAACGTTGGAGTTGGACAACAATGTTGCTATCACCACTACAAGAACAAAAATCATAAAAGCATTTGTCATCTTCATTATTCTCTTTCTTACTAATAATTTGGTTGTGAAAAAAAAAGATGCTTCTAATGCTTTATTTATAAGACTCTTGCAGTTGATTTTTTTTTTTTGGTAACCATTTTAGAAATACAATACATATTCTTAATGGTTCAAAGTCAAAAGGATAAGAAAAATAGGGAATTCTTAGAAAGAAAAATGATCATTAAAATAGAAAGAAATCTTACTATAAATAAAAGGAATTACAATAAATATCATTCCATTAAATTAAATGCAAGATTTGACTGTAGAAAATTAATGTTGGAAAAAATAAAATGAAAATTATATACAATGTATGGTAACTTTGGGATCTGAATTAGCATATATGTATATATGTATATTTGCATATATGATATGATTATATCTAATTTAGTTTCAGATAATAGAAATATGGTCAAAGATTTTTTTTTTTTTTTTTTTTTGGAAAGTATCAAAGATTTTTTTTTTAGAACAATTTTAGCAATTCAATATATGTTGTTGATGTACGTTTGTCAAATGGAGACTAGAGATCCACACTATGCATGGTTTGTGTTTATATATGAATTTTTACATACTTATAAAAGTAATTTAAGACTATAATCTTGTTAGTATGGTCATACAATTTACATGCCAAAGAATTATTAATATTTACATATCCTCAATACATGTTTTTGCTATCATTTTTTTAATCAAATATCGGATGAGTATATAAATAGATTTATACATTCAAATCAATCAGGCCCAAATCCAGCTTATCAGTCAAAGGGCTTCGGCAATACTAGAGATTGGTTTTGATCAAAAAGATCACCAATAATGCAAGACTAGCTCTTAATTTCTAATTATATTCAACATTAATTAAGGGAAACCCCCACATAAAAGCGTTCATAATTTGACCGTTAGTGGACAAAACTTGTCATTAGTGCAAGTGAGACCCTTTAGTTTTTGGGTTTGAATGATATGCGGCTTTTTCACGTTTTCACGTTTTGGAAACTTGATTCTGTTATTTTTTACCATTTATGTTATTCATCACGTTTTCACGTTTTCATATTTTTTTATGTTTTTGAAACGTGATTCCGCTAGCATTTTAAAAATATAACTAAAAAAAACAAAACGTGATTAACCTACTAAAAGTAGCTTTTCAGCGTTTCACAATTATTCAGCTAAAATATTATTCAGTTCAGTTCATTCCGCTAGTAATTTTTCAGTTATTCCGTTATTCTGTTATTCATCTGACATACCAGTCAGACTTGTTAATAAAGCAAAGACTGTTATATTAAGTTAGCACAAGTGAGCTTATCTAATAAACATATTCTATAAATTAATAATGTTAGGACTTTAAGGTTTTATAAAAAAATATAAATCTATAGTGCTTATTAATTTATAGATATATTATTTGGTTAAAAAACTAATTTTAGAACTGATAAAAAATATTAATTTATCAAGATATTAATAAATTGAGTACTAATTTATAGAAGTTTTACTGTACTAGTCATTATTTTTTTCTTGTTTTCTTAACAAGTTGTTATCATTCACACTTGTAGTTGTACCATATCAATTTCAGTCAATATTTGAAGATAATGCGAATAACGAATATGGTGATAAATTTTTATTTTAGTAATTATATTGGTTTGTTTTTAGAAATGAATAAAAGTGATTAGTTAGAAGTTTTTCAGATAAAATATTCTAAGATAAAATTATTAATTTATTTGAAAAAAAGCTGGAGAGTTTCCTTATGTTAAAGTGGAGAAAACCAGATTAATGGATATAAATGATATATATATATATATATTATTTTGAAAATATGTTGAAAATTATTAATTTTTCAAAATTTCATTTTTCGAAAACATAATTTGTATTTTTCGTGATTATGTTATTAATTACACTGTCACGTTTTTTAAACATGATTTTGCTAACATGTTAAAAATATAACTAAAAAACAAAACATGAATAATTTACTAAAAATGATTTTTTAGCATTTTATAATTATTAAAAAAAATTCAATTCAGTTGATTTTAATAATATTTTTTTCAGTTATTCTACTATCTTCCGATTAATCCGACATACCAGTTAGATCCAATATAATATACAGCTAGCTAAATAACGGAAATGAGAGCATCCATATACTCCCAGCTGACTGATTCCCATATGCATGTTTTCATTTTCTGATAAATTTCAGACTATCTATATATTACCACTCGTAATTGAGGAAAAAATAGGTTACTGATAAAAACTATTACAAGTACAGGTGTACTTATTACATATTTTATTTTCTCAATGGGGGTGTTTAGAGATTAATCAATGTGAGCGAGAAACCCAAGTCCTGGAAATACGGAAGGAATATTTGACTCTTTAATTTACACCTTTCATCACATGTATTATATATTATAAACCATTAAACATCAAAGGCCCATTAATTTCATTAAATACATATATTTATTATAAAAAATAATTAGTGATTGCAAAAGCTCAACTTCTCCACTAAGCAATGTTAGTTTCAAAGACACATCAAGTTAGTGTGTTGTTATCACCGATGGTATTGGGCTAGTGATTAAGTGCATAGGTTTGTTTTATTATGATTTAGTTCGAGTTAGTGAGAAGGGATTTAAATCCGTTTTTATCTCCGATCTAAAAAGATTATGAGCTTTGGCCAAAAGAAACTATGGGACTTGGCCTAAAACTTTATAAAATTCTTGAAAAACGTGTTACTTATAATGTGTTGTTTATAATCTTTCCAAAAAAACGATATGAAAGAAAAAAAAAAGTAACAAAAACTAACGGAAAGGCAGTTTTAAATGCTGGAAAAATGGAAAAATAACGAGAGATGAGGGGAAGGTGAGTACACATGCTATGACATAACACACTCATATTATGCTATGAAAGTAAGATGTTGTCTCTTTATTGTTCATACTTCAAAGTAACAAAGTTAAAGAAAACCAGAAACTTTTTTTGCTACAGTACCATTTACGAATCAAAAAGGTGATAATTTTGTGATACTGTACAGCTAATTTTTTGAGACTATAGGTCTGACTGGTATGTCAGATGAATAACAGAATAGCAGAATAACTGAAAAATTACTAGCGGAATGAACTGAACTGAATAATATTTTAGCTGAATAATTGTGAAACACTGAAAAACTACTTTTAGTAGATTAATCACATTTTGTTTTTTTAGTTATATTTTTAACACGTTAGCAGAATTACGTTTCAAAAACATAAAAAAACGTGAAAACGTGATGAATAACATGAATGGTAAAAAATAACAGAATCAAGTTTCCAAAACGTGAAAACGTGAAAAAGCTGCATACCATTCAAACTCTATGTTTTCAGTGTTATTAGGGCATGATTGTCCACCTTCTATTTATTTTTTTAATAAAATTTTTAATTTATAAATCAGTAAAAATGTCAATGTTTTCTACATAAATATTAATGATGAAAAATAACGCTAAAATAATATAAAGATACGTAAATCTGCTCACAAATTTTAAATAAAAATATAACTTGTGGTCTGATTTAAAAGATTAAAAATATAACGATAACTAATTTATATTTTGTGGAAGGAATTTAAAATTTGGCTCTGAAATAATTGGAGGTAAAAAGGTACGAGTGCAATCCTCTGGTAGAAGGAATGAACAAAAAAAGGTCACTATTATGATTTCCCTCTTAAAGCCACATCTCATTCTCATTGGGGCCATCTTATTTCATATCATACATACCTACAAACACAAAAATGTACTTACACACATTCATGTATATATCAGTTTTACATTAACACACGTCTTATATATACTTTCCTAAATTTATTATACAACAAACTATATATATATATATATAATAGGTTTCACACTTGATATGGAGATGTCCCAAATTAGTAATCAATTCCTTTGTCCATTAAAATCTTATATATATATATGTATATATACTGTATATATCATATGTGTATGTATATGGATTAATATCTCGTATTAAATTAAAACAAGTTTTTTTTTTTGCGAAAGGGTTTGAATTGAAACATTCCTTGGTTCATCATAATCTTTGTCGGGATTTAACCTACGTACCTGATATATTACATATATTGAAAATGTTTTTTTTTTTTAGTGGAAATATATATATTTGTATGAGTTTTGATTTTCTGCGCCGTCGTCGCACGATGCGACCCAATAGACGAGAACACCCTTATAACACTCGGCCTCAACCTTCGCAAGAACTAAAAGTTCTACGACAAAGTGACAACAGACAAAACTACATTCCTCGACGAACTCCTCCACAAAGCCACAAAATTCATGAACCTCGAGGACACATAAACAAGAGAGGACGAAAAACTCGCAGCAAAGAAGAAGTCCACTAGCTCCCGACCTAAAGAAAAGGAATACCAGGAACCTCGCCAACACTATGATCGCGACGACAAAGCTCGCAAGGCCAATGTCTCGACCATCACCTGACCTCACCCATGGAACAAATGGGTAAACTCCTCGGGCGACGCCTCTGGATCGCAACCATATTGCACCTGGCACAAGCGCTCTGGCCACGACGACACCGAATGTCGCCACCTTAGAGACGTCCTCATGCAAGAATGACTGACCGATAGGATCAAACTGGATGACCGACTATGAGACGGATACTCACGCCGACCCCGTGCCGATCAAGCCCGCCCTCGGGCTGACGACCGACGCGTCAGGAACAGACTCGTCCTGACGAGAATCCCAAGCGCGCACGGGAGGACTCGCCTCCACCACCACCAGCACTCCCGTCACCCCGACACAGGATCAACATGATCATTGGCGGCCTCCTTACATCCAACGACTCGATCAACTCGATCAAAAAGCATGAGCGCCGTGCCACGAACGCCAAGAAGGAGACGCTGGTCTACGACGACACCCTGCCTATTACCTTCACGGAAGCGGATGCAGAAGGCCTTGACTGCCCGCACAACGACCCACTCGTTATCTCCCTCCGTATCGGATCGGACGATGTCTCGAAGATCTTAGTCGACACAGGCAGCTCCGTCGATCTCATATTCAAGACCACACTAATTCAGATGGGGATCAAAGACAGCGAGATCAAAGTCGCCCCAAAAGTA